AGCAGACATAGCTACACATAGTACTACTGTGATGGCCAGGGCAGCCTAGGGTCACCCTTCTGACCTTTGTGATTCTCCTGATGTCACCTGGCTCATCAGTGGCAGATATAGAATACAAACTGAAACCTTGACAGTCAATCCCCTTCCCTTTCCCCTGTGTCACAGTATATGAATGGGGGCACCCTGGAACAGCTGCTCAGCTCCCCAGAACCTCTGTCCTGGCCAGTCAGGCTCCACCTAGCTCTGGACATTGCCCAAGGCCTACGGTACCTACATGCCAAAGGTGTGTTTCACCGAGACCTCACATCCAAGGTAGGCTGGCCAAGCTGGGTGGGAAAATGAAAGAGGGTTTGTCATCATTAAGTTGTGATTGGTCTGTGGATGTTGGCATGTTGGTAGTAAATGTGTAGGATGTTGGGGTGACAAGATGTTGGAAACTATTTATGAACGGGGCTAAAAGTGCTTTGAGGAACTAAGTGTCACACTAAGCATTGAATGTTGCTGCAATATTGGGGTGCATTGCATCCTGGGAAGGAAATTTGGGGTGATGCTATAGTGACACAGGGTTTTGGATATTTACTGGAAGACCAGAAGCAAGTGATGGTTGTGTGAGGATGCCTATGTGTGTGTGTCAGAACTGTCTAGTCCGAAGGGAGGACCGAGGCTTCACAGCTGTCGTGGGTGACTTTGGACTGGCTGAAAAGATTCCTGTGTATAGGTGAGGTGAATGCCCTTCATACCCCAAGCCTCCCAAAGATCCCCTGTACATGAGTGAAGCCCCCAATGGCGTTTCCTGTGGGTGGGGAGAAGGCTCGCCCCATCCCCTTTTCCCTGGGGGGAGATGTCTGAATAGGAGGTTCTGACCACCCTGCTCCTTCAGGGAAGGGGCGAGGAAGGAGCCATTGGCTGTGGTGGGCTCCCCATACTGGATGGCTCCAGAGGTGTTGCGGGGAGAGCTGTATGATGAGAAGGTAAGAGTCTTAAGTTCTCCCAAATACCTTAGATGGATCCCCATCCAACAACAGTCCTACTAAATATTCAGAAACATCCCCCATACTCTTCCAATGCAAGATAACTGCCAACTCCTCCCCTTGGCACGTTCCCTGTCCTACCTCCAGGCCGACGTCTTCGCCTTTGGGATTGTCCTCTGTGAACTCATTGCCCGAGTACCTGCAGATCCTGACTACCTACCCCGTACTGAGGTGAAGTTACCTCCACAATAAGCGCCTAATAACCAAGAAGGGCTCCCTAGAGGTTGAGGCCCTCTCAGTGGGGCATAGGCAGAGCCCAAGGAAGGCTAAGTTGGCAGCCTCTCCTCTGTCCCCACAGGACTTTGGCCTGGATGTGCCTGCTTTTCGAACCCTGGTGGGAAAGGACTGCCCGCTGCCTTTCCTGCTTCTGGCCATCCACTGCTGCAGCGTAAGCTTCGCCCCCTGCTGACCCCTGCCTATGAGTTGTCTTCTAAGTTCCTGTGATACTGAGAGGAAAAGTCACCCTTCTCCTGAGCCCTGAGTAAAGCTGCCCTGTTTTTATCCATCAGATGGAACCCAGCACCCGTGCCCCTTTTACTGAAATCACCCAGCACCTGGAACAGATCCTGGAGCAGCTGCCTGAGCCTGCCCCCCTGTCCAAGATGCCCCTTCCTAAGGCTCCCTTGACATACAATCAGGGTAAGTGAGCATGACCTTGACCCATCAGAAGTCCTGTCTCTCCTGAGAATCGGCTATCTGGAGGAAGCCAAGTGGACCTACCAGTTGGAAAGGCAGAGTCAGGTTGAATGGAGAGGCATCTCAGAGAGCCCAAGAAAGCAGAGGTAGGAGAGAATAGGTAGAAAGTTAGCTGGAGGAGGGGCTGGTTATACTGCTCATCAGGTCAAGGCACTTGCTTAAGGACCCAAGTCCTAAAAGTTTCCTCTGACCTCTGACCTCCACTTACAGCTCCAGCATCCTATGGTTCACACAGGTGTACACATAGACATATGACTACATCTTTTTTCTTCCTAAGGAGAAAAGATAGCTGGAAGTTACAGCCCACCCTTCAGAGCACCTGTAGGACTCCCTCTCCTGAACGCTTGTCCCACACTGCCTGGGGAATAAGGGCCTCACTGTGTGAGCAGATGCTGAGAACAGTGGTCACACCTCTCTTTCTACAGGGTCTGTTTCAAGAGGAGGTCCCTCTGCCACGCTTCCTAGGCCAGACCCCCGGCTCTCCCGCAGCCGGTCAGACCTCTTCCTGCCACCTTCACCAGAATCACCCCCCAGTTGGGGGGACAATCTAACACGAGTCAACCCTTTCTCACTACGGGAAGACCTCAGGGGTGGCAAGATAAAACTCCTGGACACACCTTGCAAGCCAGCCACCCCACTACCCCTGGTACTGCCATCACCACTGACCTCTACCCAGCTGCCCTTGGTGACCACTCCAGAGACCCTGGTCCAGCCTGAGACTCCTGTCCGCCGCTGTCGCTCTCTACCTTCATCCCCTGAGCTCCCTCGACGGATGGAGACTGCACTGCCAGGTCCTGGCCCTTCTCCCTTGGGCCCCTCAGCTGAAGAAAAGATGGAGTGTGAGGGCAGCAGCCCTGAGCTGGAACCCCCAGGGCCAGCTCCCCAGCTGCCTCTAGCCGTGGCCACTGACAACTTCATCAGCACTTGTTCGTCAGCCTCTCAACCCTGGTCTAGATCAGGACCTCCCCTCAATAATAACCCCCCTGCCGTGGTGGTCAATTCCCCACAAGGATGGGCTGGGGAGCCCTGGAACCGAGCACAGCATAGCCTTCCCCGGGCAGCAGCCCTGGAGCGGACAGAACCCTCGCCACCCCCATCAGCTCCCCGGGAGCCCGAAGAGGGCTTGCCCTGCCCTGGCTGTTGCCTTGGCACCTTCAGCTTTGGCTTCCTATCCATGTGTCCCCGCCCCACCCCAGCTGTTGCCCGCTACCGCAACCTGAACTGTGAGGCGGGCAGTCTTCTCTGCCACCGAGGGCACCATGCTAAGCCACCCACACCCAGCCTGCAGCTGCCTGGGGCACGCTCTTAGCAGCAAGGCCTGTGATCTCAAGCTTCCAGCATTGGCCTTCAGGATAGCCTGTAAGGACAGAGCACACTTGCTGGACAAAGCCAACCCCAGATGGGCTGACTGGCTCTTCTCCCCGTCTAGGGGAGCCTCAGCATGGTCTCCACGGACAGAGCACTTCTTATCTGACCCCGGGTTTGTCTTCCCACGGGGATCACTGAACTAGACACAGCATTGCTGACACACAAGACTAACACGTGCAAATTATTTAAAAGTATTTCAATAAAACTGCCTGGCTGGCTCCGGGCCATCCATCCACTCAGCAGTGCGCCCTCCTCCCCTAACCCATCTCCAGTTTGGGAAGTTCTTAAGGAAGACCAACATCCTCACTCTCTTCCCAGGAATAGTCCAGTTTCTAGGGCAGCAGGCAGTAAGTTGCCAGGTCAGGATCTTTTAGCTGAGCATATCCAAGAGTGAGGGAATGCTGGAAGAATCAGTCTTAGGAATTGGCAGACCACAGGTTAAGGATGTGGGTCACGAGCTCTTGTTCATGTGTCTGGAAAAATGAAGCATCAGTGAGCTCCAGCTGACTGTCACTAACCGTAACCCAGTTGACCCTATCTTTCAGCCCCCCTGTTCCAGGCCACATCTGTCCCCATTGCCTGCCTAGCCTGGCTCTACATAAGCACACTGAGCCACTGGAGGTTGTGGATGTGACAAATTCAGGAACAAATTTACCCTCTGTTCTCTGGGCCTCTGTCTACCTGTGCCCTATCTCTGTACCTTAAGCTTACCATTTCAGTGCAGGTGGTCCCCATCAGGAAACTGGAGAGCTTCCAGCTCACAAATGCAGGGATAAGACTCTGTACACTTTGTTGACCTTGCCCATGTTTTTTGCCAGATTGCTATATTCCAGCAGTGTGAGCTTTGAGAATAAGATGCAAGTATTGTGAGTAGAATTGGAATACACTCTGGACCCCTCCCCCTAGCTCTTTGTAAAACCTAGTCCAAGTCCCTATGCCCTGCTAAAGTCACATGGTTCAAGAACAGATTTCTGAACTTCAGCTCAAACAAGTCTTTAGACCATGGAGAAAAGCTCAAGTCACAAAAGATGAAAACTCCATCTAAGGAGCTGGGTTCACTGGTGCTTGCCTTTAACCCCTGTAAACTCAGGAGACAGGCAGGCAACTACATAGTGAGACCATCTCAAAACCATGGAACATGAAGTAGCCACACTACTTCAGGGTTCCTGAGAGAAACTGCAGCTACTCTTCAGCTCTCCACTCTCTGCTGGGGAGTTTTAGTGACCCAGTTGTCATGGACTAAGCAAGTGCAGCCATGGTTTGGTCATCTTGTCAAGGTTTAGGGAGTTCAATGTTAGCGTTTCTCTCTGGCTGTGCAGCCCTAGCCAATTCTCAGCTCTTTCTGAGAGATGACACAGACATCATCAACCTAATAATTGCTTTTGTGTTTTTGTTTATTGAGATGGAGGTCTTGCTATGTTGCTCAGGCTGGCCTTAACTCCCATTTCTACCTCAGCCTCCTGAGTGCTAGGATTAAAGAAATATACCATTGTGGCTTTTTTAAAAGTATATGCTAGAGACCTCCATGAACTATGGATGGAGTGTGAAATAAGAGTGTAGGTCAGTGTGATGGCTTAACAGGCAAAGGCACTAAGCCAGTGACCCGAGTGTAATCCCTGGGGTCCACATGGCAGGAGAGAACTGACTCCTGCAAGCTGGCTTCTGACTGTCACAGGCCACCCCTCCCTCAACACACATTTTTTTTTTTGTAATTAGTATCTTAAACAGTTGTTAAATAGAAGAAACAAGAAATTACAATGCTGACTTGTGGAAGAGTTTTGGGAGCAGGGCCTATCAAAGAACTCCTATTAGTATACCTTTATAAGACTGAGTTGACAATACCTCCAATAGTGTCCTTCAGTAGGTCTTGATTTCTGTATCCAATATGACTTTGAATCACTTAGTAACTCCTTTAATCTGCTGGGCAGAGAAATCTGAAAGGTTTTCAGAGAGGTCTATGAAAAGAAATGTGAATATGAAATAAAATAGGGACCCCCTAGGAGGCCTGTGTTTTACTTAGGAAAAGACCATGCCCATTTAGTACATGAATTAATTACTCAGCATCCTTCCAGTGCCACCACATACAGCCCACTCTATTTCACCTCCAAGCTGAGTAAGAATTTGAAGTGGAGTCAGTCTGTGAACTTCTGGTCTTGGGTAATCAAGTGTCAGGGTCTGGCCCCACTCTGCCTGAGGGGCACGAGAGCCAATGAACAGTTAAGCAATCAAGGGGCAGGCCAGCAAGCCAAGACACACACTAAAGTGGGGATGGTTCAGACGTATCGGCTCTCACCAATGCTAAGCAATAGGAACAACACAAGACTGAAAGATGCTGAAGCTAGTCCCACATCTACAGGCACTAGTGTGACTGTCCATATCTGTCACGGGGAAGCAATGCAAACCATGGCATGTGGCAGACATGCACTGGCACTCCTAACTCAGTGACATACCTCCTTTTACCAATGGTACCCACTTCAGAATATGGATAAGGGCATGCTCACTTGATAAAACGTAGGTTCCCTGAATACAGCCAGTTGGGAGGACAGAGATGTGCAGTATTTTTGGCTCTCCTCCCAACTTCTGGGAGTGCTTGAGATGTAAAAGCATCTTTTCTGTTCCTGTGTCCATCCCAGCGGACAGCAGGTATCTACAAAGCAGAAAAATATGATATTCACAACACTTGGAATAAAGTGACCAGTTAGCGCTCTCTCTCTCTCTCTCTCTCTCTCTCTCTCTCTCTCTCTCTCTCTCTCTCCTCTCTCCTCTCTCTCTCCCCTCCCACACACACACCTTTCTTTCATCTCTCACTTATCTACATTTTATGTTCCCATCCTGCTTCCCCCATTGATCCTTTAAGTGGCAACTTAAAGGAACTTTTTTTAATCGGTGTGACTGACTTGAAGAGAGTGAAAGAATAAGAAACATGCTGAGGCCTTGAAAGTCATGTTAAGGAGAGAGGGAGAGAGATGAGACAGAATCTCATCATGTCGCCTAAGCTGGACTCAAATTACTCATCCTCCTGCCTTAGCTCCCTAAATGCTGAAGTTACAAGTGTGTGCCACCATGTCTGGCTCAGGATTTTTTATTATGAGGAAGAGAAAATAATGCCGGGTTTTGCATAGAGGCGTTTTGCTCTCTATCCACATCCCATGTCTGGGCGTATACTGGAGTGTCTTATGCCCTACTACTGCTTAGATAACTAATTAGAATGGCATGGCCTAGACTGGAACATCATGATCAGATTTGCATTTTTTAAAGGATTTCCCCATAACTAGGGTTGGGCCAGTGGTTAAAGCACTTGTCACACAAGCATGAGGTCCAAACTTAGGATCCCAGAACCTGAGTGTGGTGGTGGCTTAAATGAGAATGGCCCCCATAGGATCATATATTTGAATGCTTGCCCCCCCCTGTTGGTGGAACTGTTTGGAAAGGACTAGGAGGTGTGGCCTTGTAGAAGGGGATGTGTCAGTGGAGGCAGTTGTTGAGGTTCAAAAGGCTTCTACTACTCCCATGTGCTCTCTTCGTGTCCCACGTGAGGAGCAAGATGTGAGCTCTCAGCTGTCCCTGCCATCATGCCTTTACTCTGCCATCACAGACTCTAACCCTCTGAGCCCAGTTAAACACTTTCTTTTGTAAGTTGTCTTGGTCTTGGTGTTTTGTCACAGGTGAATACCAAGTGAGTGGCAGCCATCCTATCCTACCTGCCTTGGGCAGGTCAGAGAATCCTCACAGAAAGCTGGCCATAGCCATATTGATGAGCTCTGGGTTTGATCAAGAGATCCTGCTTCAGTGAATAAAATAGAAGAGCCATCAAGAATGAAACTTTGCATGTGCACATGCAACACACACATGAAAATGGACAAATAGAGAAAATAATGAGGGATACTTCGGGTGCCATTGTGAAGAATGGACTCCATTTGGGTGGGGTGAAGATAGTTAAGAAAAACACCTAGCTGTGGCAGTTTTCCTAAAAAGACTGGGATCTGCAGAACACAAATGCCCAGATAGACAGACTTGGTGGAATCCTTCTGATGAGTTGATAATGGTGGCACCTGCTGAACACAATGGGAAAGGCACGATGAAGATGGAGTCATTGTGGAAAGCAAGCTGACTACTGCAGAGCAGAGTCTCAGGGGCACCAAGCTGATCAACTGTACAATTGGTCACACTTGATGCAGGCCCAGACTAAGTTGTCAGCTGGGTTCTTCCAGGATTTAGTTTTCAGTCAGAACAAAAGAGTAGGTGATTAGGTAATAGGCCCTGGGACCCAAGATGGATTGGGAGAGAAGTGAGGATAAGAGATGGCTGTTGGGAAGAAAGAAAACTGGGACTCCTCACACTGGATGCCTTGGGAAGGAGGGAGAAGAGTAAAGAACCCTATAGGGCTGGGTAGATGTCTACAACCAAGTTGTGAACAGATGAGCACCATGGGATATCAAAGTCTAACATATAGATATGGGAATGGGTGGTGGTGCTGGCAAGGGACTGGGAGTCATGGAAAATAAGGAGGGGGCTAGGAGATGGCTCAGTCAAATGTGTTTGCCACAAAAGCATGAGGAATTTAGTTCAGATACCCAGCACCCACAGAAAAAGTAGAGCTGAGCATGGTCATGCTCTACATTGAGGGGAGAAAGTCTATCTCAAAAACGATTCTCCAATGGCACACACTGGGGAGGGCACACACAAATGCACACATGCACACAAAGAGAACAGAGGCATAAGAAGATGAGAGCTAAGGGTGTGTGCATGTAATCTTGCTGTCTTAAGCTTGGTGGAAGCATCCAGAGGTCCCCTGGGTCAAAAAGAGATTTGGACAATGTGGTATAGGTTGCTGGAGATTACTTCACTACTCCCATGATCTGCCAGAGAGCTGCGTGCATCTCCCTATACCCAGTGTGCAGCTTTGTCCTTCTCAGTAACCAAGTCACATAGCCCACCCAGGTCAGCCACTGCTCTGGCTGCTGAGAACTAGGCAGACCCAGTCATGAGACACTCCTGGATTCAGTCCATCCCTCACAGGCTGTTGACCCCACCTCCCTGATCCCAGAGCAGATACCTGAAGAACAGGAGAGGATGCGCTTCAGTGTGTCCTGCACATTGATCAGCCTCTGGTTCAAGTCCCTCCTCTGCTGCTCCTCCCTTTCCAAGTTCTCCTTGGCCCTCTGTCCCTCAGACTGGCAGGCCTGTAGTTGCTTCTCAGTGGCTTCATGGATTTTCTGCTTCTCCTGTAAAGTGCTCTGACTCACGGTCAGCTTTGTCTGAGACTCCTGCAGATCCACCTCCTTCTTCCCCAGCTGAGCTGTCTTCTGCCTGAGCTGCTGCTGCATGCTGCTGTTGGTGGCTTCCAAAATCCTGCTTACCTGCTGGAGTTGCTGGGACACCTGCAGATCTGTTTTGCCATGCAAGAGACTGGTTGGGTGTAGCAACACACACCCGTATCCCTGCCTAGGGAAGGCTGAGATAGGAGCCTAGGCCAGCCTGGGCTACATAGGAGACCCTGGTTGGGGTAGTGGGGTGGTGGTGGTAGGGAGACTAGAGAGCACTTCCTTCCGCTCCTGCAGTATCAACCTTTCTGTTTTTTGTATAATATGCTGGATTTAAGATCTGTCTGCCCAGAGTTTAAGGAAATCCTAAACTGGGTAAGGATAATCCAGGAAGGCAAGACACTCTGGGCAGACCTGGTTGGAAACAGACTTGGTTGGAAACTAGACCCAAAACCAAGGATGTCAGGACAGTGTCTTTAAGCCTTCCCGATGAACGGTCAATTGGGTGGGTGGGTGGGGATGTTTAGAATGAGTGGGAAATGGGGATACCCATACTCACAGCGAACTCCCAGGCAGATGGCAGCCACCCCTAACATCAGACAGACCAGGAGAAGGCCCAGCAAGAAGTATTGTAAGCCGACCGTGAGACCTTAGGGGATAGAGATGAGGGGCAGTCATTCCTGGGGAAGAATGCCCATGGGGAGACACGTAGGGAATGGAAAGCACTCCTACGCGGGCTCTGTCAGTCAGGGAATAGAGGCTGGGGATTGTAACTGGTGAAAAGGATTTAGGAGGGCATTACCCGACAGAAGAAACTAAATTTCATACAGGGAAAGGAACCTGAAGGCAAGTGACTAGGGACCATCGGAACAGGGGAGGTGTTCTGAATTGAATCCAGGTGCGAACAAGCAATCCAACAAGCGCTACCAGGATGAGGTAAGCAGTGCAGTGGCTGGGCTGTCCTTGAAGTCCCAAAGGCTTATCCCCAGAAAGAGCAGCAGAGGTCAGAACCCAGCCCTAGCCCTCCGGGATACCCAACATCTGGCATCCCAGTCCGGAGCCCGGGGGTGGGCTGCAGGTGAATGGCGCTAGAGCTGCGGAGGGGGACGGGGACGGGTGGGGGTGGGGTGGGGGAGAGATACTCACAACGGGGAATCTGCCCTTTAGCGGGCAACTTCGCCGACCTCCATGACGCAGCTGGCTGCTCTGACCTAACGCCTGCGGAAGGGGAACTTCCTAAGTGAGGGAGGAAAGTCCCCTTAATTCCTTTCTCCCCTGCCCCACGCCAAGCTGAGACCTTAGTCCGTCCTGGGCTAAGCGCTGTGGGACAGTCACTTTCGGGGCTTCCTCTGCTGCCCCTGGGATTCACGTCCCTGTCGCCTTCGGGGCTTGGGGAGGGAGGGAGTGGTGGACCCTACTCACCTCCTACTTGTCCCCCAGAAATGCCACGCAGAGGAGGTCCTCATTTGGAAGCCCTTCTTGGGTCGCCTTATCCACACCTCATATCCCCCATCTCTCTCCTGGGTCTCTCTTCATCTCCTCCTTATCATTTCCTTGGGGTCCCTTGTTTGTGACTCCTCATCCTTCTTCAATCTCGCTTCTCACTCTTGTTCTCCACCCATCTCTCACCCCACTGCCCTGATCCTCCCTACCCCCAGTTTACTGCGAGGACCTTCACTCTTCAGGGACCTTTCATCTTACACACACACACACACACACACACACACACACACACACACACACACACAGGCTCTTAGCTTGTTCTCAAGAACCGCCCTGCTGCTTTCTCCAAGACTGCTCTGCACTGCCCAGATCCCGACACCCTTCGAAGACACATCCCTGGGCCTCCATACCTGCTTTGTCCACTAGTGCAGGGGAAGCCAAGCCTGACGGCCCCCCTGGGACTGCAGACACTTGCACGTTCTCATAGGTGAGTTCTCCGTCCTCATAGGCCTCACAGTCTGGAAGAGGAAAGTTCCTAAGTAGGAGGAGTCTGCAATGAGGTCTGTGGAATGGGGGTGGGATATGACTTACCCTGTCCTAAGTAGTTAGAGATGCTGTTCTTCAAGGGCACTTTCACAAAGCGCAGGTCTGCATAGGTGACAGCATCAGCCATGGCCTCCAGCACCTCTACCTCAAGGTCTCCTAGCTAATCCATGGGGCACTCTCCTCTCTTAGACACTGAGTTCTCTCTGACTGTGAGGCTCAGTGCTTTGCACCGTGACCCCAAGTCACAAAAGAAAGAGGAAGACCTCTGGCAGATGAACTCAGTGGAGCAGAACAGGTCTCTGGGTTGGAGCCACAGGGGCAGGGAGGCAAGGGGGGGCATGAAGGGACACAGACAGCTATGCTAGCCTGGACCTGTGTCCAGTGTGCCCTTCCCCATGTATCCTCGACCCACTTTGTTCCCCACAGTGCTTAAGATCCACGCACCAGTCTGGTATGTTCCCTGGTTGGCCACTCTGGCCACTCCCTCCTGGACTCTTTTTAACTGACTCAGGGCACACCCCAATCACTGCTCCAGGTTGCAGCTTCATCCCCAACCATCAGATTTGGGGCTCCTACAATGGAGCCTCAGCTACTCCTTATTCTGGGGGTTCCAGTAGGACCATGGCTTACCAGAAGGGTAGCTCAGATAAGGTTCAGGTCCCCCACTTAGCATGGAGCGCTTCTGATTCCCCTCCTGCTTGCTGAACTGTCACCCAGAAACAATTGCTGGGCATGTGACAGCTTGTTTGAGGATGCAAGGGAGGCAGGAACCAGCTGGTTCCCCCCCGCCCCCGTGAACACCCCAGACTCCCCACTGCACAGCTCTTCCCTGCTGTCCGCCTGATCACACCTGTGACCAGGTATCTGTCTCCTTCCCCACGCACCCTCCCCTCTGGTGGCATCCTCTGTGTTCCCAGGTCAGAGCAGTATCAGGAATCCACATCCACTCAGCAGGGGCTCAGGAGGAGCTCTGGGCTTCACAGAAGGCTAGCCTTGAGAAACCATAGTTCTCACATACCACCTAGGGAGGGATGAAGGAAAGTGAGTGTAGGGTTCAAGAAGGGATGTGGTGGACTGGAGAGAAAGCTCAGTGGTTAAGAGTACTGGTTCAGTTCGCAGCACCCGCATGGTTGTTCACAACCATCTGTAACTCCAGTTCCCTAGGAGATCTGATGCCCTCTTTGACCACCTCAGTTATCAGCCCGGTACATAGTGCGCAAACATACATGCAGACAAAACACTCATGCACATAAAAGTAATATAAAATAAAACTTGAAAAAGGAGATAGTGGTGGCTGTGGCTTCCTAGGAAGAAATGAGGCAAAGAAATGTCCCCTTGTTGTAGTTAACTTTTTCTTTTAGAGGTTCTAGGGGCTGGAGGTGTAGCTCAGTGGCACGCTAGGAGTATACTCACTTCCCTGCACACATAGACACCCATGCAGTTCAAACATTGTCCCATTATACTCATGCCCTGCGAAAATGGACACTTGGGCCAAGTGTGGTGGCACACACTTTTACTCTCAGAAATCAGGAGGCAGAGGCAGGCATATATATATATATCTCCCTGTAATTCAGAGGCCAGCCTGATCTACACCATGAGTTCCAGGCTGAAGAGAGAGGAAGAGGGAGAGGGGGAGGGGAGGGGGAGAGAGAGGGGGAAGGGGGAGGAGAGGGAGGGGGAGAGAGAGAGAGAGAGAGGAGAGAGAGAGTCACAAGGAGAGAAGAGGCATCAGCAGAGGAGACTGCCAAACCTACTAAGTTGTTGTGGGTAACAGTGGCAGGACGGTGGAGCTGAGAGCCACAGTGCCCAAAGGGGCTAAGTCTTTCACCACAATGCTGTCTCTTAAAGGAATCACAAAGGCCTTCATGGCTGGGGGTTGGAATGAGCTGGAGCCAGATGAGGCGTAAAGGTGAGAAAAACCCACCCCCTTTGAACCACATCCGCTCCACACACACCCCCACACACACCCCACACACACCAGCAGTCCTGCAGCTGTAGGAAGGAAGAAAGAGAGGTAGATTTCCTCACCACATGCTACCAACTCATATGACTGGTGGTATATGGCAGGGCCAGGAGATGGTAAGAAATGGTAAGAAAGCTTTCTCAAAGTAGCATAGTGGAGCCTGCCTGCCCCAGGGAAAGTGGCCCCTGGGGCAGAATAGCAAGCTCATGGTCACCCCAGGAAAGCAAGTGTCCGAAAAGAGGCAGATGCACACACACATCTGTGTGCTTGAATGTGCACAGCCCCCACACTTTGTGTCCTGTTAGGGGTATCTGTGGGAGGTAAGTGTCTATGTCAGAGCCCTCCTGGAGAAAGAACCGCAATAGATCCTGTGGGCTGGGGTAGCTGGTAAGAGCTACCTTTTTTTTTTTTTTTTTTTTTTTTTGGCCATAGCAGGGAATGACGAACCCTTTCAGAAAAAGTCATCACAGGTTAAGACATCAGGTTTTACAAGTATTTCCTTTTTGAGGTTCATTTGTGTTTTAAGGGTTCTCTGCAGCAGCTGTTAACGGTCCCTGCTAGACTAAAGTTTCCAACAGCCCAGCCTTCCTCCAGGCACTACCTCAGGGCTTCCCCCAGATACTGGCAGTGGACTGGTGGTTGACTCCCTGGGGACCTGTAGGGCATGTGAGAGTGAGTGGGAGGGCACAGAGCAGCTGCTGTTGGGGATGGGTGGGGACAGTTAGGGCACTGCATCTGTGATACACTAGGTGTGGGTGTGGTCAGGGTGAGAGACTTTAATAAGGACACTGGCAGGAATTCCCTGGACCATAGACAATATCTCACTTTCCAGAACCCCTGTACACAGGTGAACATGACCTGGATGTCAGGTTAGATGCCCAAGTCTAGCTTCTCATGTGCAGTGGAAAACAGCATCAGGAAACCTCATGCTGTTTCCAAGAAACAAGAAAGAGGCACTGAGATAGAACTGGGCTTGAATGGCCAGCTCACCCACATTGCCTTAGACGTCTTCATCAGGAGTGGTCTGCATTTCTCTCCTCTTTCACCTTCCTGGTGAAGATGAGCTATCTCTTCATGACATCTTGCAGTCTCTTCAGTCTTAGGCCAGCTCACAGTGTCTATGTCAAAGCTCCCCGAAAGGATACAATGTGACAGATCCTGAGGATGCCCGGGAGAGCTGCTGTCCCTACCTACGCCTTGATTGACTTCTAAGTGATCTTGTACTTAACAGATGGGAAACAGAGTGGGTGAGGGGTGCAATTCTTGCCCTGCCTGGGTGTGTATGAAAGTCTTTGCAATATTGGCACTCACATTATCTTTCAAAGCCAAACATCCAGAAGGCTGGGACTCAGTTCTCCCCACACTGTCCAGATGTCAGCAGCACAGGGGGCTTAAGATCAGAGTGGTGCATTTCAGGTCTACCATCTGAGATGTGACGTCATGAGGACAAGCACCACAGCCTTGCCTAGTAGCAAGCCCCTCTGCTTACTACAGAGAATGGGTTGTCTCAGGAGGGCAGGGGGCCCAACTGTGGATACACTATGTGAGAGACATTCATCTGTGTCATTTTGGTCATGCAAGTCCAGCGGACATCAGGAGACTGAGTTAGACTGTACCTTCATCACCACTACAACCACTGGCCTCGGCAGAACTAAGGACAGTTTATACACTAATCCCAGCTGCCTATGAATGTGTGACAAGATGTGGACTCTTAAGTGAAGACCGTTTAAATGGGCGAGCATCCTTTCTATCCTCGTAATCCCAGTTTAATTTCAGGGGACCTCAAAGAAAGATCTTTTCCAGCTAGGGGAAGAAAGGCATCCCAGAAGGAGGAAGGGTCAGAGAGATGAGATGCAAAAGCTCACCCTTTGCTGGTTTTGAATGGAAGGCACCAAAGAGCCAGGAAGCCTAGGCAGCTTCCAGAAACCAGTAGAACAAGGAAGCTTGTTCTTCAGCTTCCACAGATCAGCCTGCCATAGGGACACCTTAACGTCAGTCTGACACTTTCATCAGAATTCTGGCCTCTGAACCCACAAGGTAATACATTTGTAGAGGCTGGAGAGACACTTCAGCTGGTTAAGAGCAGTGAGTGATATGTTTGCTGACCCGAGTCCAGTTCCCACATCTGACATCTCAGAACTGCATGTAATTCCAGCAGGAAATCCCCAGGGTTGTCCAATGTTCTGTGGCTTCCTTGGGCATGCGCGCACACACACACACACACACACACACACACACACACACACACACACACACACTTAAAAAATTTTAATTACCTTTTAAGGAAAACTTTCAGACTTATTTTATGTGAATGAGTGTTTTGCCTGCATGTATGCGTACCAGGTGCATGCCTGGCACGGGAACTAGAATTACAGATGGTTGGGAACCACCATGTGGATGCTGGGAATTGAACCTGGGACCTCTGCAAGACTAACCAATGCTTTTAACCACTGAGCCATCTCTCCAACCTTCCAAATACAACAACCACTGAAGGTCATTGAGGATGGACCCACCCTTCCTAGTCAGCAGCTTGTAGAATCAGGCTTGGAAGTGCAGAACTTTTTAATGACTGGTCAGAAGAGGGGGCATTTATGTCATAACGCTGACCCTGGTGGAGACATGACACTGTGTACCGCCTGGAAGGTCAGTAATAGATAACTATCTAAACCTTACAACAGTATGGTTTAACTGTAGGATTTCTGATAAAGAACAGAGACATACCAAACCATTGTTCCTTCCCTAAGAATAAATTCAAGCTGGGTGTTGGAGGCACAGGCCTTTAATCCAGCACTCTGGAGACTAATATAGGTGGATCTCTGTGAGTTCAAGGCCTGCCTGGTCAATATATCAAGTTTCAGGACAGCCAGAGCTACAGAGATACCCTGTGAAAATAAAACATTTAAAAAGAAAGAAAATATATCAGTTAACCACCACGTGTATGACACTTAGTTATGGCAGCAGGAGGTAAGTTTCCTGGTTAGCAGCAAAAGTGTGATGTGATAGGAAGAACATACCTACAGACATAAAGACCAGCTCTGCACTATGTCACTTTGGACACATTACAGTTGCTTTTCTTTTGGGCAGGGAGGAGGGGCATGGGAGGGGACAGGGTCTCATGTAGCCCAGGCTGGCACTGGATCTGCTATGTATCCATGGCTATACTTGAACTCCACCTGCCTGTGCCTTTCAAGTGCTAGGATTATA